TTTGGTGAAGCAGGCTGACCAAACTTGGCACAGAACATGGGAAACAGAAAATATGCCAATGCGCTTCTTAATAAGAGCTTATGTATTGCAAGGAATTCACTCAAGCATTTTGCGATGCCATTTCAGACAACATTAAAAGACGAATTCACAAGGCCGATAACTATTAGGGTTTCACCAGTTTTCCGGTGATTGATCTAGGAAATGCGTAGGTAGTGTGAAAGTACACCAAATGGGAACTGGTCAAAGTGGCTGTCTCCGTTGGTCAGTCAAACTCCCAGATGTACGTCATAACTCCACGATCCATGAGTGGAATGGTTAATTTCTGAGGAGATACGGTGTTCTTTTGAATTTTAAGACGTAGTTTATTCAAAAGGGTTTATTTTAGATACAGGTCCCCCAGGGTGGGAGAAAAACATGAGATTCTACTTATGGCTAGAAAGGATATATTTTCAAGAGGGCTTGTTGACTCACGCATGTGGTGTGTAGATTATTCCACCACGTTAAAACCATGCAGCTGCCCATGTTCTTGGTTGTCTCACTACCACCTGTCATTTGGCCATTTAATCTCAAATTTCATCACCACCTAAAGAGCATCCTCTATGCGGTTAGACGAAAATTGTTGACTTGAAGCTTTTCAACTGAATTGTCGTTCTGTAAGTGCATTCAATCAGTGTCGACAGGCGGAGAAGCATTGTGCCTTCGGAGCGATTCGAACTTACAACCTCCCAACTGGTAACTGAAGATCCGTATGTTAACAGATATACTAATTTGCATTCCAATATTAGTTTCACGAGAGGCTCACTTGAATATCTCGTTTATGGTGTTTTTAAACTGAATTGCTGCAGCAGATTGCCTCATAATTCATTTGGTACGATATTCGAAATATAAATATACTGTATGGACGTAACACACTACTCACAAGGCTACTGTATAATCTTCGACCGCTTATGGTGTGCGATGTATCAAAAAACGTGCCAAATGATATACGGGGCTACCCGGTGCAGCACATACAGTTGAAGAAAATCATAAACGAGAGATTCAGCTGGGAATCAGGCGAGTCTCTTGTGAAAACCAAATTGATGTTCAAATGAGTGTATTTGTCGAATTTCATTCAATTCGGATCCAAGTACAAAGTAAGGTTGACGAAAACTCGTGGACTGCGCCAGCCCCAAGAAGTGCGGGACCAGTCGTAAGCTGTCGAAGGGTTTTCAGCAGCCTTATGTGTAGTGCGTTACGTCTATCAAACCGGTATTTCAACTTAAAGAAAATATACCTTATTTCTCGCGACTAGTTTCTTTAAGAACCTGAACTAGTACGACGGATCTGATAGCCATACAACCGAGGTATTGTTCAACGGTTCATCTCGCCGTTAATATGAGGAGTTCGTTGTGTTGAGTAGAGCAACAAACAGAGTTGATCACATGCTCCAAAATTCCTCTTACAATGAGGTAAAACCCGCGTACGATAAGTTCAGATATCAAGCTAATTCGCCCATGCTAGGAACTCACACGAACTACAACAAGCAGAACTATACTTGACGTCCAAACATCCTGATTCGATTACCTAAACATCAATCAGTATCAATGTCACACATTTCGCGATTTCTGAACACACAGAAGGGCAGAGGGGCAGAGTACAAATTAAAATTTCCGGCTATTTTTTAAAGCGCGAAAGTTTTCGCATCTAACCCAACCACACTTCATCCCAGTATGACGTTATTTTCGCAAAACGATATCAAGGCCAAACGACTGGCTATTGCAATCAAAGTTCAGTCAGTAATAAAACACTTAAGGATGGATACGTCCGTTTAAGAGGTATGTCCGTTTAAAAACCTCAGAGGTGAAGACATGGCCGTTCTTAGTACCAATGTAGACAGTTCGGGTGGAATTTCTGTTCAAGGACCTGGATTACGGTAGCCTTCATTGATTTCATCTGTGGTTTTTTCTCTTCAAACGTATCGGAATCAGAACTGTTTTGACCAATCGTAGCCGCAGACGGTTTGGTCTATCTACTACGACCAATTTCTAGGAGCACTCGTCTGTCTAGCAACTGCTACAATCTTGTGAGGCAAACATTTCGCGGGGGAAGTCCTATCAAATCTTTATTTTCGAACAAATTATCTAAGGATAGACACGAACAGGTTTCCTGCTTGAATTAGCCGTTGAAACAATATACAATAGTTTTGTCGGAGCTCATCAGATAGTTTGCGAATGGAGGGGTTTCGTAAACTTAAAATGGTCCTCAAAGGTTAAGGTGCAGGATTACTTATCTGAAGGTTTGTGATTCGAACTTGAACCTGGCCTTCTGATTGGGCCAGCTTGGGCAACCTGGTAGGGTTTCATCCCCTGTGCCTTCTTCAAATTGCACGGCAGCAGACTGGCACCACTCCTGCACAAATTTTCCGCTTTCATTACTGTGAAGATGTCCCCAAAGTGTCGATAAAAAGTGGTCTTTTCTGCTGGCTGAACGCTGTAGATGTTTATTTTAGGGTACGACAATGAAATGTTCATCACAGAGTCTTACGAATGCAACAGATTTGTATGGGTACAAAAAAAGGAACTGTCCAAAACTGGTCTCTCCAGAGACATGGTCTCTGCTGATTAGGAGACAATTGAACATTAATAAACATTCCCGTTGATTGAGGACCATATTTGTAAAATCTCCACGGCCAATACGACCGTATGGTTGTACGGGAAACCATAGCGATAATCTTTTCTAGTGTCTATACCTTCACGATGATGATGGTGATGCTTTCACAAACACTTGCTTATCTTGAAAGATTGGTGTCATCGCTTTGTGGAGGAGCGCGATTCGGGATCTTTGGGAAGCACGGGCATGAGGAGCGCAGCTGTATTCTTACTACTGACAAAGCTGTTTAAGTAGGCAGAAGTCGATGCTCCAAAATCTGACTTTCAAGATGCGAGGTATTTCCCGGGCAAACCCGGGTTTTAAGGCGAACTTGTTATGAGCCCGAACATTGGCGCCATGTGTACCGCCGTAATACACTGGTGATAGAAGATGCAACTGGTTCAGTTAGGAATGAGAAAAACATGCCAAAAGTCAAACCGCGTTAGAAGTGTTCAAAATGATCTCAACATAGGTATCCGTCAGTTACAATGAAATCTGTTGCTTGCAGAAAATTAGAATACAGACTGTGTAGTTTAGCCGAATGGAGAACTCACTCATCTTCCAAAGGATTGTTGACAGAAACCAGGACATCTGCGCTGTCACTGGAGTACCGGTACAGTGCCTGATAGATTCGTACCAAGTGTTCAACGGTCTCGTTGAATTTAGCAACCTTTTGCAGGCCAGTTAGATAGACCATGGACGTGCAACTAATGGTGAGGTAGAAAACACGGGGCGGTACAACTACAACGGTCGTTCTGACGACAGGCTGAAAAAACTAAGTCTACCAACAGTCTCATTATGAGAGGCTCTGCAGTCATTGTACGCAATAATCCCGATTAGGACCAAGGAGAGGCTACCTATGGCAACAGAACTCGAACAAATATTTAGGGATACGACAAACGAAGGCTCTCCAATCAAAACAGAGTGCGGTTGACTGTTGATGTGATGCGTGTGAGGTGGAGATGACAACTTGGTAAAATCAAACGAGATTTATTGTACGGATCAGCTCACAGGCGTTCGTTTGAAATTTCTGTTCCTTGAGAAAAGTACACAGGTTTTTGTTGTACTTTGCAAGCTCATGAAATGGAATCCAGTGAAACTGATATTCTTCTCCTTCAACATGTGAACAGGTTGTGCAGTCAAGTTTTTAGCCCCAAACATCTGAGTATTTTACGCTCACAAACGATTCCATAACTACAACAGACACTTCGGCCGCAAATTAGCAAATGCCGATTGTAGTACAGATGGAATGTCATCATTCCTAAGGGCTGGGAAACGTATGCTTATTCCTGTTTCCTCGATCAGCATCCGAAACCTTGCTCTGAAATAGTACATTTGTCCCATGGACAGACAAACTCAGCATTCCCAGTTGTGTGAACAAATCCCTGGGAGAATATAAAATCTGTGGGGTTTCCCGTACACACATTCTTCAGACAGAGCTGGTTTTCCTCGATTTTTCATATTAGAACACACAGTATCGTTCAGCTGTAGCAACCTTTCGGTGACTAACTGCCATGCCACACGGAGGTTGCACGAAGATACTACCAGGTTGCCCAAGCCTAGACAGGGGAAGTCGAAAGGAGAAGGTCGGGTTCGAACAACGGACCTCTGTGAACTACGGACCTTCCGGTCAGTAAATTCGCACTCTAACCACTTGGGTCATCTCGCCCCAGTAGCCAGCATAAATCATATTTACCCAGAAGCATTAAAAAGTTTAGTGATGCGACTGAGGTGCCGGATCAAAAATGCTAGTTAGTCAGCGGTGAACAAACTGGAAAACTGCTTAAGTCTGTCGCTTTCATCGTAGTGTTCATACAGTTACGACAACACTTCTCCACACTCCTCTACTGACTGGAGCTTAAATAGGGCAAGTCGCAGAAATGGGAGCCAGCCTGTCCGTGGAAAGCTGAAACCTTCGGCTATGGGCTGCATATGGGATCGAACGAAGTCTACTTGAGAATGACTGGATTCAAAACTGATTTAAAGCGTCCCCCACGATGTGCTTTCCATGTAGGACTCGGTGTATTAATATGAGACAGCAAACCAGGATGCTCCGGATAAAATTTACTATGTTTTACCGAACTCCTCCACAAATATGTTTCGGGCATCATCACCCTTAACATACCAGGACTGATTTTAATCACATTTGCAATTTGACAAGTTTTCTGGTATGCTTTGAAGAGATCTTTGCCGGTAATTTCCCCGTACCTGCTATGGGCAGATGCTAGCTTATCGTAACAATACTGGGGATTTAATTCAAGGATAGACTTCAGTGGCTTCGAAGTACTCGTCGGAATACTGGATTTATCAACCAGTCGGAGTCGGCCTGCCGGCCGGATCGTGCGTTGGGCAATGGAGTGCTACCTACCGGAAAGAAATATATTCCTTTGAGGAGACAATATCTGCCCCCTCCCCAGAATTGCTTCAATAGAAAACAAAAAAATACAGATTCGTGAATAGAACCACTTCAAGTATGAAAACAATTCTACTGATCAGGATTACCATGCGCGAGTGTATCTCATCCACTGTGGCTTGAGTATCACCAACCTGCTCTGTGTGTGACGTGCTCCAGCCGTTGTTACAATACTCACGGCCAAGATACAACAGTTGACTGAATCGAGGGAAGTCACACCGTTGCAGGACAGTTTGGTAACACTGTTCCTAACACAAGCTGTTTGACAACCGGCGAATCTTGGTTGGTTATGGAATGTAGCACTATTGTCCCGATGGTGAAGTGGTCCTTTGGAAAACCAAGTTCATTATCCTGTACGATTCTATTTTTTCTTCAGAGTGGAATGCAATGAGTAAACGTTCTGTACCACCAACCTTATTTTCTTGGCGGTGGTGAAGGATTCAAAGATCACTGCCACCGTAATCGATAGATGCGGGTATTGTTCACAATGGGGAACGCTCATCACCAGATAAATGCCCTTTCGGAACGTTGGAAACATGAACCAAGATTACATTATATCGCTTATGCATCTAACAGCCCATTATGCAAACAGCGTAGCGTGTAGTGAACATGCCACTTGGTGAGTAACCATCCGACTGAGTAAAATGCGTTGAAGCAACTTGATTCGTAAAATGTATCGAGAATACAGCTAATCGGAACACTCACTGCGGATCTCGGTAGGGTGGGGAGAGTTCCTCTACCGTCTCTATGACAACCTCGGACGCATCGTTCGTACGGCCGACCTCCTGGAAATGTAACCTAAACATGACGAAGAAAAAACAGTGCGCACATGACGAATCAACCGATGGGTGGTCAGGAAAGAGCAAGATGAGGCATTACAACCAATTCAAACTGAAACTAACGTTTTTGTGCAAACAGACATTTATCAAAGAAGCATACAAAAATCCGTTACTGTATTCGGTGAGCATTTCCCGACAGGTTGATCAGTTTTCGCTTGAGCTCTCATAACCTCCAGTATTTGAAGGTGCACTTAAAGAGGTTAACATTGTGGGAGTCTGCAAAAAGTAGTCCACACTTAAACTGCTGCAAGGAATTCCCAAAATGACAAGGGTTGTAACACTTCCGATAATAAGGCAAGAGAAGACGGCGAGTAAATTTTCATATTTATAAATGTACCGTATTTGACGGTAAACACGTTGAGAAGATTAAAAGAACACATTTTGTGTTTTCCTTCGGAAAGCATGTTTATGCTCGTAACACACTACTCACGAAAAACCATCAACAGTTCCTGGGGCTAATCCGGTAGGCGGAGGCCCAGAGTGTCCATCAACCCCACATTCTGCTTGGCCCCCATCTGGTGGAAATTCAACAAATACACTAATCTGTGTACCAATTTGGTTTTTACGGAAGGCCTACCTGAGTTCCAACTGAATCTCTCGTTTATGATGTTCTTCTTCAACCGAATGTGTTGCTGCTGCCTTATGCTCCAGCGGGTACGACATTGAAGACATTATAATACATTGTACAGACGTAACACACTACTCGCATTTGTGCTCTTTTTGTGGATAAGTAGTACAAAATTGTGCGTAACGCAGAGTTCGAACGGATAACAAACATGAGTCAGATCGATAAAAATTTGGAGCTTGACGCGTGAAACAAACGCCAAGAAAACACATTGAATTTCGTCGTTGCATTCAAACAGGGATGAAGTTGTTCTGGTTTTGGTGCAGAAAAATGGAACATGTAACCGTCTGGGCGTAACACACTACTCAAACGGTGGCTGAAAATCCCCAACAGCAACCTTGTGAGTAGTCTGTTACGTCTATACAATGTATTGCAATATATTGACTATCGCACCAACTGGACCATGAAGGGGGTTGGTGCAGCAAATTCAACTGAGGCGAACAACTTTGAACGAGAGATCCAGCTGGATTCAGTTGAGTCTCTTGTCTAAACCAAATTCGTGTGCAAATAAGGGGAGTATACGTAGCTGTCTACAGTGACTAATGTAGTGTGCATGAAGTAGTCAGCTGAATAACTGCCATCAACCACTGACGATTCGATCCGCGAAGCCGGAAATTGGGGTCAGCGCGGACGCCGACTACGAAGAGCACAGAGTCCAGAGAGAGAAACACTCGGTCACACAGTAGAAACAAATCGACTCTTTACATAATGTTGGGTAGTGCTGCGCGCTTAAATTAAACCAGCACCTTAGGCTGACCACAAAATGGACTACAGGTAAAAATTTTCCCTCGCTATATTTTGCAAACCTCATCACTTTTACCACATCTTTCAGTACGCTTCTGCAGAATCAACAATTTAACGCGTTACAACTGATTACCAGGAATTCGTGTTTATTGAACCGGCTTAGAACCAAATGAAAGTAAGGTCGTTTTTCAGTGACATAAGTTAATGTTATGGGATCAAATAACGCTTCCCGTTAAAATAAAGCGGGGGTTCTCCACCGAAATGAGTTTCTACGTCATGATCAGACAAACTAGTGACCATATGACAAACACGTAACGACATAAGCTTTTTTGGTTTGCTTACCGGGCTGCTTCTTTCGGATCCTGGGTATCGATTTGCTCCAAAATATCGACAACGACACTTTGGTTTGTGGATGGATGAACGAAGACTTCTTGGTTGTCTGGGATTTGTCGGAGGTCACTGTAAGGGTGGATAAAGCAAGCAGTCTCGAAGCAGAACGCTCCGTCGGAGCAAGTCAAAGTAATGAACGCTGAACAGTCAAAAACACAAGGCTGGTAAAAACATTATCATTATAGAACTGGGGCAGACAAGTGAATGGTGACCAAAAGAAAACGCGCTTATTAATCAAAACAAAGGTGCAAGTCAGAAAAACGTCACAAGCATATGCTATTCCATCCAACCTGCTGTTGAACGCGACTCAAACCATTCCGATTCATGATAATATTCTCCTTATCTAATGACCTCCTTGCTGAACGAACCCTGCATGCTCAAGATGCCCTGTGTACTCCTAGAAGTAAGTTCATTTCTTTAAGGTCGTAATGCAGACGAATGAGTTATGAATCGGACTATCAACAAACCAATGGAGGAACTTTCACACATCTTCGTCGTTCTGCCAGACGGAATCGTCATGGCTTCGGTCAGGAACTGTTCCGGTTGGGTGGGTCGGTAGCGCCAGAATTCTCGTAGTTTCTTGCTTTAAAATGACTGTATATACCGGAGACACACAATACAGCTTCAAGAGTAAACGTATCTGCACTGTATTGTACTGGTATGAATGTGCTTTATAGGACGAAAATTTACGCAGTTTTCGACCGAGCTTATTTTCTGTTAATATCGTGATTCAGTTCACATGGGATAGCCCTAATTCAGCTATGCGTTTCGGTTGCTTGTTCAAGGCCCTTCGTTTGAGTTACGGGGTTGCCTGAGTAAAAGTGTTAGCGATGTTTGTGGCCCAGTCGTGCGTTTCGATCTCATTCCTCATAAAATTCTCACCATAACCTTCATTATTCTCCTTACTAGACGCAAAACCGTGGTCCAGAATTGAATTTAACTTGTGACCAAAATAAAATCTTCCAGAAATCGGTCCTGAACTAGCTGCCGTTCGCGAGTTTTGTTCCAGCACAAACTTTGGCGATCTTTCCAAAATCTGTCTCCTAAATAGATTTAGTACGTACAACAGAAGAAAAGAGGGAAAACCAAAATATACGTTTAATTAGGAGGATTACTTCAAACATTCTATCACCGGTGCCTTCGTCGCACAGAAGGATTCGTCTGGCTCTAGCAAATGCGCTATGAAATGGTGCGCAAGCGAAGACTCTGGAACAAATAATAATCGTGAGGATGGCAAAAGCAGTCGGGGCACATACTGCGGGTGCTCAGCCGCTAGCTACCAAAGAGATGTTTTTCCATCCTTAAACACTACTGATGGAATGTCGTGTGCGAATGGGATATGGAGGCAGTCACAGTGAGTGTTGCGATCTTCAGGCCTTCACTGCTGGACCCACGTGAGGCTCCTCGCATGTAACCGCTACAGGATATAGCAGGTAAACGATTTCCTTGTGGCTTTTTGTTCACGTTACAAGTACTTGAAAACTTCAGTCTACGTTCTAACAATTTGTGTCGAAAATCTTTGGATAATATGGCACAACTCACACAAGGGGTTCACTAACAGCACTGACAGCCATCAAGTGTTGATACATTAGGCAGTGTGGCGAACTAACCATGAAGAGAAACTGTACAAGCTTTACGGAGAACAAGTAGTCCCAGTAGCTCAAGAAGTATGGTGTCCATCCCGTAAACGGGAGGTCAGCGGATTAGATCTGCCCCAAGGCGTACCTGTTCTATCATCCTATACATCCTTGGATTTCTCACTTCGAGATCTGAGAAACCCCCCCCTAACATTATGTTCTACTGCTGAGCTCTAACAACACCGGAACTCGAATCCAGTGATTCTCAGCTTTGTTGTGGGTAAACAGAATAATCGCACGAGGATTAGAGCAGAGATCATCTTCCACTAGCCACGCAACTATGTGAAGTTAATAAGTGGTTTGCTGGGCATAGCCCGTGCATCACACGCGTTGAGAGTCTGACCGGCCGCAAATGGTCAGACAAACTTTTCATTTTTTTTAACCTCCGTCGTAGGTGTAACAAAGCCGTAATAAAGTAAATAATTAAGTAAAAAAATGAAGTGAAAAATTTTTTTAAAAAAATTTAAAATTTAAAATTAAAATATTAAAATTAAATAAATTTAAATTTAAATGTAAAATTTAAATTAAAATTTAGAAATTTAAAAAAATTAAAAATTTAAAACATTAAGTAAAAAATTGAATAATGATAAGTAATAAAGTCGTGGACTTGGAGTTTTGCAACCGGTAATTATAAATTGGAAATCGTCAGATCTCCAGTCAATATACTGAAAGTTTGGACATAATCTCAAAACACTTGACTAGTCAGACTCCCTAAAAGATTCGAGGCATCGGCTACGCCACGTAAGCGGTTTAATTCGTGTGCACGGGTCAGACCAATGACTGCATAAGGTTGTGGTCTATTGTGAAATTTATATCTCAAAATCAAACGATTGGAACAAAACGTGCGATGGACTGCTTTGCATGGACTGACCAATCCTATATAATCAAAATCCAAAATCAGTTCAGTGAAGATATTAGGGAAAAGAGGTATGATATGGTTAGAAACATCGAATAACCAGTCCTCCTTTTGTGAATCAATTGTAACACCGAAAATAGATAAAACAGCTCCCGAAGTAGTGTGCATCGCAAAATCTGACGAAGGAGTGAAGTACCACTAGTACACGCTGTGGTAAGCTATTCGAAAGTTAGTGGAAACGCTGTCAGAACAAATGAAGCTTTCTAGGGACTGAACGTGGTGCACACTAACCGACGCAAATCAGACTGTACCTTGCATCGATAGCGTATGACGGAAGAACTAATGTGAAGGCTCCATCAAAAAGGTAGCGGTCTTGCATTTCAGAATGATTCAGTGTGATGGTGAGACAGATGGCTTGAATACACCTGAAAAAAAGAAGTACACTACTGACGGTTTTGATTTGGTGGGATATTTAGTTGGAAAATATTAGTGTACTCAGCAAAGCTGGAGATAGCGGTGATAGTAATTCAAGTGTGCAAACCTGGAGCCCTTACACGGAGTTCTACGCAGTTTGAAAAACACTTATAATGTATGGCATAAAATATGTGCCCCCTATCAACCTCTAGTCGGGTAATCTCCCGAGTAGCAAACAGCTCTGGAATATACCCAACTTGAGAAGAAGCATATCCAATTTCCAAAAATACAAAATTCTTCAGACATGCTTTTGGATGAGGGCTCCAACCATTCACCTGTCTAGGCATGCGTACTCTGGCAGTAATCAAGCCTCCACACAACCATAGACCGCACAGGTACCGATAACGCAGTGCCACAATTGCTGTCGTATGTTGCCACTAACGGGGCACAGACCACGGTCGGCAATCAAATGAGGACAACTCCTGTTTTTATCCAACATAATATCTTAACCTACATCTGATTCGTAGAGATCAGCTATTGTCCTGAATGAGGGCTTAGCAAAGCACAAGTAAGATACAGGTGCGACCAGGCGGCCATTTCCCCATGGACCCAAAACCAAATGAAAGCGATGATTGCCTTTTGCTCCGATCACTGTTCCTCCGAAGTACTGAATTCCGACTCAGCAGTAACCGTTTAGCAACCCGGCATCCTCTTACTGACAAACAAGATGTGGCCAGACATACCAGTATCATTTACAACCAAACGTGCGGGTCCATCCATGATTATCAATCGTCAAGGGCTGCTAAAGTTGTTCAAAATCCTACTGTTTATCGGCAGGTTCTGAGAAGTCCGCCGAAAAACCTCTCACATAGCTATCGAAAAGATTTCAGCATTGTCAAAGCAGTTCGTGGGAAACTTTGAATGCTGCATTCTCAAAGAGACCAATTGTAATCAGAGCTAGATAAAAGCCACCATGCTCGCAACAGGGAACTCGGCACTTGGGGTCTTCGGGACCCCAAAGAATAGACATTGAAATTCACAACTCTTACAGCCGCTTCTCAATCCGAGACGTCGTCCGACTTCCAACACTGAGCATAATTTGTCCAGATGGTTTGTTAGACGTCAGCTCAAGTACACTACGTTCAATGGAAAAACATGATGACTTCAATAATGCGGAGACCCTCGAATTCAACGCACGAGGCGCAAGTTCTGTGACATCAACAGGTGGGACATAAATTAAGCACACTTTCACATTGCATCTAATGCTTGAACAGCTTCGCGCACACCGGCGACCACCTCATTTCACCAAATTTTTCGATTTCGCAGATAGATTAAGCCCTCTACACACACTTAGCTAATGGGAATCATCCCCAGAGTTTGTGGATATTTAACGCATAATTCATCCCACATCCCTGGCGGTTGTCCACTGTAATATCCAACGAGCTTCCCGAGATCAGTAGGCAAGGGTTTACTTCAGACGTGTTTGTTTGGTTTTGTTAACGAGGAGACAAAATGATTCTAACTGGCACGGTATAGATCACCGATGATTTGGGGTGGCGTAGATAGCTGCGCATCGAAGGCAGTAGCTGATGTAGTTGATGCGTGAAAATACAAAGGTGTCAGCGAAATTTTCATCAGGAGGATTGGGACTGGGCCACGGCTGACCATGTCTCCAACCATAGATGTATGTCGTCTCGGGGTGAAAAGGGCCCCGATCAGCAGTAATGATTCGGTGTTCCCACCAGACTTGGGTAATGCTCCGAAACCATCCTTGGTCAAACACACGTCCTCAGTGCGCAGCGACCAAGTTTCTGTTCCGTATAGTAATATGGAGCGCACCACAGCACTGTAAACTCGATCCGCGATAGATAAGCTAATGTCACGACCACGCCACAGGTGATGCTAGTTCATGAAACTTGGTCTGGTCTTCCCAATCCCGATGGAAATATTATTTTTCGCGAGACCACTGGAACTGATACAGCTGCTCAGATTGTCAAACGTGTCTACTACCTCAATCTGCTCATCTGCAAGCCTGAGGCTAGGGTTCCAGCCTACTAAGGCTTGCAGTAGCACTTTGCAATTTGCAGGTATGAAGCGCACGCCAAATCGTGAGGCAGGGTTACCTAGATTATTCACTACTGTTCGCAGTACGACAGCATCAGGTTGTCTGCGTACTAGATAACTGCGACTGAATGCCCTGGGGAAAATTTCGACCCCACAAGTAATAGGGCCTGATAGTGAGTCTTTCATAATAGCATCGATGAAGACTTGGTGCACAGCGCCTCAAGGAGAGTTAATATATGGAGGACTCTTTTGCTCCACAGAACGCCAGTGTACGCGACGGTCCACAGAGTCGAAGGCAGATGTCTCACCAGTTTTGGTTTGACTGCTTCCCTTCAGCACTTGTGACATGGCTGTGGAACGAATTTCCAGGAAGTATAGCCCGTGTAATCATTGCAGCACTCAAGCGCGACCACCTCGTCTAGGTGGCAGCTTTATGTCGGAGAAAATGGCAGTACTGTTGTCAGTCCCTACCCAGAATACCTAGCTAACGCCACTCCGCCGTTGGATGCTGGTATTGTACTGGGTTAGGTTCAGGAAGGGGGCAATGCCTCATGCTCCATGATGCCCAGTGGTATCTGTTGGAATTTTTTCGGAAGGCATAGGTAAATCGCTCCTGGTCGTTTTCCCTAAAGACAAATGGACCTTCGCAATAAGCCCTCAGACCTATCGTTTCTCCTCAGTTTTCACTAGGGCTTCCTTCCGTACTGGTTTTACGGCAGTTAAGTACTAGTGCACTACTTGTCCAACAAGCGGTGCGACTGTTCAGCATTCTCAGTATGACAAACTCTGGAATGCTAGCAAATCCATCTTTCGTATTCAGACCAGTTGCCTTCATACTCTCGTGAAACAGGTTATCAAGTTTCGCAATATCATTATCCAGAGGCATTACTGTAGGTTTTAGCTCAGTAAAATGGAAACAATAGACTTTTCCAACTTGTGGTACTAACAGTAATAGTCCGCCAGTCCACTCTATCTTTACAACCGGTTAGCGAATTAGCGACCACATAAGCAGAAATTCATCCTGTCTCTGTAACGAGCACATTACAATATGCTCGATTCTTCGGCCACATTCATTACACAAACAACCCAAGCGCCGACGTGACAATACAGCGGAACATATCGTCATGGCAGCCGCGCTACAGTCAATTAATCCTACCTCCTTGACGTGCCACATATGCTATTGGGGGCTCGAACGGCGAACTGAGGCGATTAGGAGATTCGGCAATCTTCTACTAATTTCTACTTTCACCGACTCACCACAAGGTCTGGCATCATTCTTTTATACCGTCTGACTAAGCCCCAAACAGTATTACTTTCAGTGTGCTCATTCTATTGCCATAGGAAACTAGTGGACAGTGTCCGCACCTGTAAAGCATCCCTATAGGTCTTTACGGAAGGGTAGATTTGTTCATCTCGGAAAATAATCCCTTATTTGCGCACACTGTAAAGGGATTCCCAATATCTGAAAAACTGATGATTTGATACTAAAGAATTAACAGTAGACACAGGATGGTAAATGACGAGTTCATGAATAGGAAACCAACGGTAATGCTATTACCTTGTCCATTCTATGAACTGACATTGTATACATACCGACACTAACCGGCTGAACTTGTGCTTTTCCTACTTTATATTTCATATGGTTACCCAGCTAACATTTTACCATTCTTTTTAACTCCCCTTAGTAATCAAGAGAAGAGTATTCTTGAGTAACCGAAACCTCAGAGAATATAAAGGTTGTTTCACAATCCTTTCCCAATCCTCCAATACGGTCCTCTTCCTCAAAGGGACAGATTTGTCTTGGTCCCACAAAATTCGGCACTCGCTTGATGGAAAAGTGATGGACTACTCTAAAAGGACCGGAAATTCATTGACAACTTTTGCCTTATGATTCCCACACAAGGAAAACCGTTTTCTGGAAAGCAGGAGATAGGGAAAACTCCAAGCATGGGGATTCACTTCTGTTTCCTTGTGATAGAACTTGAAGTCAACAGCGGCTAATCTACTTAGTCGCGAAGAACATAATATTGTGAACCCAACTGCGCGATGAAAAGTGCGGTGAAGTTGAATGACCCACTTCCTTAGACGATCACTTAATACGGAATGAGTCCCTCACAGATTAAATGAAGACCGAAATTTCGTCGTGTATATCGATTCAATCAATGCCGAAAGGCCGAGAAGCATTGCACAACTTTTTAACCCTTAATACGAATCACCAGCGGTGGTCATTTCACGAATCCCGAGGGAAGTTCGAACCGGAAGTTCCCCGGTTAGTAACTGAAGGCTCCAAATCTCGCAGGTACAGGCAGTTAATCAGCAACGTCACCCGAAGTTAAATAGGACACGTCATTCATCATTGTCGGTATAGACTGACTTTACTTATATGAGAAAATCTCCATTCAAACATTCCTAAATCTCATGCTAATAGTTGCTGAAAACCGTTTATTTCAGATGAAATCAAGTTAATATCGTTTTGCTACTTCACAGCTGTTAAGGACTACCGACGTGAGGTCAAATGTATCGTGTGTGTGCAGGAAAAAAACTAAGTGTCAAGATTATTTCTCCAAGAGTTAACCCTACCAAGATAACCAGATGATGCCAAAATATGCCTCCTCGTGTACACAAGCAAACAGCGGTAGGAAAAATTACACAAAGCCAGTAACAGTCATTGCATTATTAGAAATAAGGAAAGACATGAGTATCTGGGTAGGTAGGTGCGTTTATCAGAACAAGTTGCCGACAACGACAGGCAAGTGGCTTGTGTGACAGAAGACAATAGATCGCAACTAGCCACTTGAATCTCAGAGAATAAAATAAATAATGAACGCATGCAAAACGGTCACAGGAGCAGAAACAATTTAGATTAGTGCCGGGGTAGGCTTAAGATAAGGGTGTGAAACCAGTTCAGAGGTCGTCGCAGTGTCGGCGATGGAGGCATTCAATGCACGAACGTAGGATTTGAACTTCTTGCACCCGTAGACGTTCACAATAGCGTTGGATTGGCGTGAGATTTCCATAACCCACTTCATCCTGAGGATCAAAACAGAGGGAAGGGGTATGAATTTGTTGGATTAATTTAGAAAACTACCTGCGGAAACACAATGGATAAGTAGAGAGCACAGTAATCAATCAGTAGACGGCGTTCGAATGAACGGCACTAGATACTGTGCCTGCGTGAAGTATATTACCGGAAACATCACTAGCCAACCAGTCCGCCTAAACTTATACAACTGTCCACGTCGATTAGCCCGCCTGCAAGAATGAGGTTCGGTTTTGATCCCACCCACTCTAGTAGTAGCACTTTACACTTTGCAAGTTTGAAGCGCGCGCCAAACCGTGCGGCAGAATTATGCAGGTTATGTAAGGATTTGAACCAAGGAGAGCAAAATCGTTCGCACACTCAACATCTGTGAGCAAACCTCTCGAGAGCGTTCTAAGAGGTTTCAGAAGCCAGCAGTAAAGTTCAAACAGCAGGTGAAGAGGAAACGAGAGGGCAGTCTTGTCTTACACCACTGGACGTGGCGAACTCGGTGAAAGCTCCCATTACCAGGAGATCGCATCCACTGACCTCAAGAGTTATAAATTTGGAAAAGACGCTGTTGATCGCCAGACACCGCCACAGTTTCTGACCATCGACAGAGTCAAAAGCAACTTTCAGATCAAAAAATCGACAAACGTTGGATGTTTGAAGGACTGACGCTGTTCGAGAAAATGTTTCAAGATAAAGATGTGGTCAATGTATCCTGGGCCACGGTGAAACCCGGCTTCGTTCTCACCAATCTGTCTCTCCCGACAATCGATCAACCTACGCAAAATAACGCCAGAGAGTACCTTCGGTGGTACAGCTGCCGAGCTGATGTCACAATGGTTTCGGCATGACATTCTCGCACTATTTTTAAAGACTGGGACGTATAGTGGAGGAGCTCCACTCCACTAGTATTGTTTTCGTTCTAAATCTTCTGCAGTGTGGTTGTCAGACTATTCACCGAGACTTCACTAATTTCTCTGAAAAGTGCGGGATTCAGACCATCCGGTCACATGCCTTGTCGAATTAAAAGAGTGAGATCTCACGCTGTACGACGATTTTGAGTTAATAGCCGTTCCACCGTTTTCGCATGCCGCCTCTAACACTTGTTTTCTTTTGGCCGGTTAATCGGGTAAGCTGAAACAGTGTGGCTGTTTTCTGCACCGAAAGTCTTCACCATCTCCCGGGTCTCCGAGATGCATCTGCACTCTCCGGCGTTCTTGAAACTTCTGATCATCCGGTGTTTGAGAGATCTGCGTGGCTAGCTTAGGCACCAGTTGGTAGTGTGGTATTTCTGGCAGCAATAAGAACGGCTGATCTCGACGATTCTCAGTGTTCATTTAATTGCGTCGGTTGGCTTGGATATGCTATCCTGAAAGCAGAGGCTATATCACCTTTAACTAGCTTCTATTTAACCTCCAAGTAGTCTTTGTCACTCGCATGACTGTAGTTCCAGTAGTTTCCTGTCCAAATCAGCCCCACACTCTTGAGCTACTGAAGCGTGCCGATGTTGAAGGATGGAGTTGTTTGCTTTGGCACGTGTACTGGTGATGGTGGACATAGGCATGATCAGAGCCAGAAGGTACAACAATCCCTAACTGGGGGTTCTCCATCGGTAACCAACAACCGCATTGTCCAGTTGAGTCCAAGACTGCTGGTTGGAGGCGTCCAAGTAACTCGATGTGGGCTTTTGTTCTGGAGTTCATACGGACGGTGATCAGCACACAATTGAAACAGTCGCTCCCTGTTATCCATACGCTAAGCCTCAACTACAAATCTACCACCTAATTGTGCTTTTTCCGAACTTGGCCGTCCAACTTTGTAATTCATATCACCCGTCAAAATTAGTATAGCCGTCCTTCCACTCGCAACAGATCTCCATAAACCAATTGCTTCTCGGTCTCAGAACTGTAGTCTGCGAGGTGCGTGCCGATAAGACGAGTAAACACCGTTTACCATATCGACCTGAATTGATCTTAATTGAGCCAGCCAAACAGCAGAGTACAAAGACGACTATTTACTGAGGTCCAGTCTAGTGAGGCCCTTTTAGCCTTGGAGTTGAGTGCAACTCTCACACCCCTGAATTTAATTGAGCCAGCCAAACAGCAGAGTACAAAGACGACTATTTACTGAGGTCCAGTCTAGTGAGGCCCTTTTAGCCTTGGAGTTGAGTGCAACTCTCACACCCTAGACACAATGGGCTATTGAGTCAAGATCACTTAACACCCGAAATGTGGAACACCTGTGCTCGTCCTGAGCGGCTCGAGGTGCAAGAACAAAGTATGTGCTTTAGAGGCACAACATGCACCGACAGAGAGGGAAAGCAAGAATTCAGCAAGGGATAACTGTTGCCCAGTTTGACATAGAGTACGGATTGAGAGCCGTAGTAGGGATTACATCTTTTGAGGTTAGTAAGTGGTTATTTTGGTTTGTTTTTATGGGCTATAATTTGGACATGAAACAAAGGTCAGGGGATTAGGAGATGGGTTTATCCCACAGTACCACTAGATGGCTGGGAAATGAAGTTGAGTGGATAACTAGAGGGGGGAGTCATATTTCTTGGATACCCAAGCGGAAATGTGGTTGAGATATCCAACCTTGAGCCATCGTCTCAAAAGCGACGGTCACAGCCAGCCGTTGGACGATTGGAGTGCGTAGTTTTTAGGGCCGAACTTTTGTAACCCGTTCTACCCCGAGGGAAGGCAGCATCACCGCTTCCATGAATATGAATATGCTAGTCGCCTGAAGGAAATGCCTTACTTCCTTCACACTCTTATCGCAGAGGAAAGCATGACTTAGCCCCCAAACCTCCTCGTAATACGATTTCTCACGGTACGAAAACTCGCTGTTCTTCATTAGGCTGCTTAGAATTGGACTTCTTGGTATTGTTGGACCTTTAGGAACTGAGTTCCAGTGATTACAGCCCATTGCAACACTGAAGCCCGACCACCTGGAAAAGGTGACAGCCTTAGGTAGAGGTAGACGCGGGCTCCTTTTGTGCATTAAATGTCCGGTGTTATCTGTGATAACCTCAATAACAACCGGTATCTCGGATCCGGTTTGGTGTATAAGGCGAAACAGTTTCCAAACAGCTTCCCAGATGTATCAGATCTATTCATTTCCAGAGCCCGTTTATTTCACCAGTTTCCTCTACCCACACACAAACTATGTGTGAACTGACGTCAGACAGATCGGCCGGTTGAATTATGCTCATCGGTAGGAAAACCGACTTCTTCCACGGAGAAGTGATAGTCACCATTCTGGCGGATCTTCGGAAACACCACAAGCCGTATGCCATTCCGTATGAATGGCAGGTAATCAGGCGTGTACAGGGGAAAAGTGGAAACAGTGAACACGCCATCATACGCTGCGACCGGTTCTGGCAGGGAAGTAATCATGAAACTCCACGCAGAGTGTAGCACATTGAAGAACATTGGGTAAAAAGTAAGTTTTCAAATTGACATGATGAGTGATTGAGTTGCAGCTGAACAACTGTGAAAATGAGTGAGGGGTCGCATTACAGTCGACCGAATTGAAATATCTAGGAAGACCCTCAATCCTAGGGTTCGGTACATCGCAGATTGGAGTGTTGTACCGTTGTGAGACACGCCTAGAGGGATAGAGAATGTAAGGAGTAAGTCGACCACTTTTTTCAGAAGCATAGATAGTTTGACTGTAGGGGGTCAAAACGAACAATGGAGGAACCGAAGAAATTGCTTCAACCCGACGATATGGTGCAAATGAAGAGCACCGTTTCCGAGGACGATAATTTTACGGAATATTTATCTGGACATAAAAAAAGTCTACTGCTAGGACAGTCTGAAAATGAACGGGAATTTAATTCCTCTACTAGTTAGCATAACATATCTCAGTTTGACAGAGAGTTAGGGAGTACAAGCATCAAACTGGTTATCCTTGTATCATTTAAAGACAGGCTGAGTCCGTCTCAAGTGCGATCTTCCTAAAAACGATAATCCAAAGAAACTTTGACGAATCGTCTCGATGCAGACGATGCCAAAAGAAAAACCGTGTTCTGTCAAAGAAATCCTAGCTAACTGAAGGTGGAAACTGATTGAAAGGCGCGGCTGGAACAAGGCGATTACCTCAGAAACCATCGGTCCATATGCTGAAACCAACAGCTCGAAACGCATTGTCAGGAAGGCGATTGCTTGGTCATCAATAGGGTTCCCAGGGCAGAGTGGTGATGTGCGCAACGCATGCAATGCTGACGTTGTCATAGACAAGTGAGCGTCTAATTGGTCTGAAAAAAGTGGGACAGAAGCAAAACAATTTGACAACCAAGACAAACACTCCAACCAATAGTACAACCAAGATAATCCGAGTTTTGACAGGGACATTTTACGCTGCTATTCTGCACATAAGATGGGAGGTTGACGAATAGAAAACTATCTGGTCCCAATCTTAAGCAGTCTAATATCGAAAAAAGTCAATCATGTTCGGTTAATTAACCTAACGGAGTCTTGGAAGGACAGACGGAATTCACTACCACCTGTATTTGGAAGAAGTGTATGGAGATTTACAGCTGGCGTGAATAATCATGCCATGGGCACTAGACCAAACTCATCAAACTGATATTCATTCGAGTTTTAGTTCGAGATATCTCAGTGGTTAAGGCGCAAACTTATTAACCAGAAGGACCATGGTTCGAACCCAACAACGGCATTTCGATTGCTCCTTTCTAGTCTTGGGTAACCTGGCAGTATCGCAGCCCTATAGCTTCTTTCGAATGGCGTGGCAGCTAAACACCGAAAGGGTACTACAGCTGAACGATTATTATTGATAAAATTCAGCTGATATGTTGAGAGTTTAGGGAGTTAGTGCAAGGATAAATTTTGGAAGAAACATAACCAACCAAGTTCAAAGGTGCTTCGACAGAGACTCGCTAACTAGGACGTGATCACTCCCCAAAATCATAATTACAGCGTCCGGTATTAACACGAAATTTAAACATCAATTTACGGTGTCAATAAATGTAAACAAAAGGAATTTACACAGCTACACAAGTGAATTAGAGATCGATGACTTGCCAGAATTCATAACGAAGACGCGACCAAACGCGATTGCATCGGACAGAGAAGACGAATCTCCGGTTATATGTAGGGTCAAGGGACTACAAAGCGGAAGAAAAAACAAAACCCTCAGTAAAGCTATATGATTTCGGGCCTAATAAGGAAATGAAGAAACACAAGTCTGTTGCGTAACAGAAAGCCGTACGCGGCCATTTTGCACAAGGACACCCCACGTTGAAGGGCATCATATAAATAGTTCAGCATGAACAGGCAGTTTGCAACTGAAAATTGGAAATCAGCCTGCTGGCCTTGATAGGAAGAAAAGACTGAGTATGATGTGGCAGGTGGTCGCTCAAATATAGCATCTTTATGGTGCTGCTACCATGAGCAAAAACGGAAGAACCATGAAGTCACTTTGACATCGGCAAGATAAACCGGCAAGCTGAGCGCCGGCCCAAGCAACTGGACTTTCTCCTCAGAATCTGATGCTTGCACTTTTGCCGAAGGCTATAGTAGTGTTGTTACAGTACCGACAGACTTCTTGACACATTCCCCCAGCTCCCGTCCCCATTAATGACTGTACTGTAGGTGAAGCCAATCTAAGCTGAAAGGCTGGTTCATCCTTACTGGGAATCATCAGCAGTGCGTATCCCGCCAAACTTCGGGAAGTTTTGAATCCGCGACCACCCTACCAGTGAAAGGAAGAAAGCCTTCGCTGCGGAGTTATTTATCAGAAAATGCCAACTGACCAGTTACAGACTATTGGACAGGGAAGCAAAACTCTCATAAGCATCTTGTTTACAAAAACTGAATAGCCATCCTCCCTTTGAACGCGTTTTCCTGAACTGTTCTGGATATTCATTGACTGTTGCTCAAATCCAAGCAAATACTACAAAGCGACTCCACAAATTCCACAACAGATCTCACTTTTCAAGAGGCGCGAACCGGATTTACGAGAAAACATACTACTCGCATGCCTCCCCCATCAGTAGTATCACCGGTAGTTTAACACCCAACCATTCAACCACGAGCGGCTGATCACCCATCTGGCCAAGTCGCACAAAATTTGTTGCCCCATGAAAAGGCAGAGGGGCGGATAACCGAGAACACATGGGACAGAAACCAAAAGGGAATTGGCACTTACGACTGCAAGGCAATGAGGTTGAGAAGTTGTTCCCGTTTGGAAGATAGTTGATCCGACTTGCTAACCCCTGGACAATTAGAACAATACAGATAGGAGGAAGAATGTCACAAGTTGTACAAACATTTTGTAAGCAGAACGTTTCCGTCGAATTTTCATGCAAAAAGTGCCGGTTGACAAGTTAATTCTGAGTAGCTGGTCTGCTGGCACCCCTACCGTTCACGGTCAGAGAGGAATTGAAATTGTTAGACAAGACCAAAACGATTTGCGTACGACACTCGGTTTATTAACATGTCCAAGCTGGACGAGCTAAAGTAAACAGCTGATCCATTACAGGTTGGTGATGCTCTGACCTAACTGGACAAAGATCACCCATGGTAAGCAGTTACCACACGAAAGAAAGATAATTACAATCCCGCTTCTTTCATTCCATAAACTCGTCCTTATCAAGCCACCGTTCTCATACGGAAAATAAATGAATTCGAAACTCAGAAGGCGGTAGGCAGAAGTTACCACCTGTAAATTCAAGTTACGAAGTAAACAAACGAGAGTCGTCATCCGAGACAAATGTAACCAAATTGTACGAATAATGTTCTAAGGAGTGACACTTCCGTTGCCGAGAGATGTGCAACCTAGTTAATTATTAGTCACAATAAAACAACACTACTGAGAATTATGCTAGACGGATGTCCAGGGTTATTTCATGAATCGTGGGTGCAAGTGTTAGTTACAGGCTAACCCAAGGTCGACTTAAATTCAACGACGAACCCGTGTTTTGATAGAGATGGTGTGAACGGTGGGCCGGATGTACGGGGGGACATTGTGAACACAATGCTATACAGTTTTCCTTGGTGATATCAACACCTTCGAGAATCTCGAAAATTACTGCTGCAGTGTGTAGTGATGACAGTACGTAGCCTAGATGAAAAAGTATACTCACTGGAAGTCCAAATGACTTGCTCCCAGTGAAGGTGCTACGAAAAACGTGTGGAAGAGATTACGAAAAGTTTGGGTGCTTTTGGTGCGACTCATAGTTGGGGATGAGGTCAGCGTCTCCTCACTATGCCTGGTTGGAGACACTACGAGATATGGCAGCAAGATATGAATGACTATCAATAGAAAGAGAGGGAGGCCCAGAACATACCGAGGTCTGTCTACGGGAAGAACAAAAGTCAAATTGAGTTTCACACGAAATAGGGAACTCGGTATGTCAGGGTTCCCTTCAAGTGTCAGCGTCTCTCACTATGCCTGGTTGGAGACACTACGAGATATGGCAGCAAGATATGAATGACTATCAATAGAAAGAGAGGGAGGCCCAGAACATACCGAGGTCTGTCTACGGGAAGAACAAAAGTCAAATTGAGTTTCACACGAAATAGGGAACTCGGTATGTCAGGGTTCCCTTCAAGTGTCATCCGTCCAGGCTTAGAAAACTGGATCTAAACACAGAAACTTCCCCTTTATCAGACAGGGTCACCCTGATGGATGGAATGGCAACCTCAGCTTAGCATATAAACATTAGTTTAATCGACGAGTTGGACGTGGAAAGCCCTGTGGGTTAGTCGGGTTTACGGCACCCAAGATAAAATTTGCCCTGGAACCTTTTGTCACTTCATCGACTGAACTGAATATCCACTCAGGCAGGTGCCCAACAGTTTGAACTCATAGATCCCTTTCCAAATAAAATAAAAACAGCTCAGCTTTAACATCCTTTCGGTACACAGCTCCCATTCGACTGAAAAAAGCTCGAGGGCGGCTGGGATACTACCAAGTTGCTCAAGTCTAGACAGAAGCAGTTGATAAAACAGTGTTGGGTTCGAACCATGGACCATTCGGCCAGAACCAATGGTATCCTTGCACTCGAGTCAGGCCCGTCTTATTAGCTGTAGGGAACGCGCAAACTACCTTTTGTGTTTGGCGATCGATGCGGTCAGGTTCTTCATTTCCAAGAGTTCTAAGGTGATATACACCCTGTTCTTTGATGATGAAATGCAGATATAAGTCTGGTTACCACGGGGAAGAAGGTCTGGCATCAGTTTGGGGTTGGACTTGGATTCCTTTACTCGTTGGGGCATTCGTTCGCCGAGCATAGCACTTACGCATGGCAAAGCATTCTAACAGCTCGTATATAGTATTAGTCTTCTCGCCAGCCTTTGTCCCCACAGACCCCACTCGATTTGCCCTGAACTCCGCTAACATCTCACAGCACATTACTCGTCAAAATGCACAACATTCACCGATTTTGTACTTCAAGATCGGATAGCCGTTTATGTCCATCCTAGGTCATACGTTGTCCAGCTCGCAGTGTGCACCATCCTGAAGGAGGCACGCACAACAACACATGTCTCAGTAGACTATGTTCCAGCCAGCGTAGCACACGGCCCTAACCACCGTAGTTGATGGTGCTGGGTGTTTTCCGCAAATGAAGTATCCGACTCATGACCAAACGTCCGTTTTCTAATTGTCCCCGTTCGAATTCGTTGATTCCATCAGACACTGGCAACACTTCTGGAACAATTTTACTCAAAACCTTGAAGACGCCCCATGTCATCTACCAGCGGAGACCATGTTCTGCAATCACACAACAACACACCCCTAAAGGTAGTCTGGTACATGTGACCCTTGGACCCAGTGATACGTCTTTCTGACGCCACAAGTGACGCAAAATGGCGAAGGTCATTCGGGTCTTTGAGGTTTGTGCACTGAATTTATCAGACGCCCCTCCGTTACGGCTGGTACAACTACAAACGTCCACACCCTCCAGTGATTCCTCTCGGATTATAAGGGGCGCGCCCAGAGACTTGCACTTTGAAGGCGCAGGGCGCATGGCGAATGATGAGATGATGGCGGTCATGGAAAAGGATGAGCTGTAAGATATGGCTCAAGAGTAGATGTGCTGCAGTAATTACGTCCAAACGTTGACAGTCCTCCATTGAAATAAATACTATCGTCTTACAATCTGAACCTACTGCAACGGAAAAACTGAGTGATTTGCATACCGAACAGGAGCACATACCTAATACGATACGAACATTGTTATGGGGGTTCGTTTCAGGCACAAAACCAGAGAACATGAGGAATTCCGCGCTCGTTCGTTTTCCGTAGTCCATCAGAATCTAAGTCGGAAAAGAGGTAAGGGATATCTGCATGATCATTGATGAGGACAAAAGACGCACACAAAGGGATGCAAGGCCGTGAGTACGTATGAGTACATGAAACTGTACCAATGTTACGACCCATGAACAAGTCAAAACATATTCAGTTAAACCAATGCACTAACAAGAGGGTGTGACAAAAGTGTTCTAGTCGTCTGCTTTCGTGTCCCTCAACCCATACGCTGTGCACAACAAGAACTACTGGTGAAAGGAAGAAGGCCTTCGTTGCGAAGCTATTTGTTAGAAAATGCCAACTGACCAGTTACAGACTATTGGACAGGGAAGCAAAACTCTCATAGGCATCTTGTTTACAAAAACTGAACATCCATCTTCTCTTGAACGCGTCTTCCTGAACTTTCCTGGATATTCATTGACTGTTGCTCAAATCCAAGCAAATGCTACAAAGCGACTCCACAAATTCAACAACAGATCTAACTTTTCAAGAGACGCGAACCGGATTTACGAGAAAACATACTACTCGGATGTCTCCCCCATCAGTAGCAACATCGTGACAAAAGTGTTCTAGTTGTCTGCTTTCGTGTCCCTCAACCCATAAGCTGTGCACAATAAGAACTACTGGTAGCACAGCAGTGAAGCATCAGTCTGCTGCGGCTGGAAAGGACACTGTAACAGTTTAAACAGATTGAAGCACGAAGCACTCGTATCTGTTCTCTCTTCAACCGACGCTGAGGCTTAGGAGAGTTCATGTAGGGTAAATTACCTGGATAATTCACAGTAGTCCGGGGAGATTTTCAGAGACCTGTCCACGTGGTGGGGGAAGGAATCAAGCAAATCTGTAGGTCATCATCTATCAACTATCATCGTCATCATCACAAACGCAAAGTCAGCACTCAGATGGCAAATTTAAGATACTGTTGACTGCATTTCAACTACCAAATGGACACGAGGCAGTAATTTAGCTCAGTGTGACTGCTTTTGAGCTCACTTGACTGCACCATTTGCAAAAGAAACCATCGAATTCATTTAACCATTTTTGATGGCTTTGAGGTTATGTACAGCTCTTTAACTGGCTTATAACAGTGCGCGTTGCCCTAGGGTTGTGGCGGCTGCACTCGTGAATGTGAAAACAACAAAGGTGAATCAGAGCATAACAAGGAACGAACCAATAAGCACCGAGGGGACCGGAAGGTGTGTTAGTCAATCACTTTGGAGATACTAAATATTCCTAGCTAAATTATGAGATTTCACGCACGAGGTAAACAGGCATCCATGCACGCACTGACAACGTCTCCTTGAATGACCCCTAAATGTGTGCAAACTAACCAAAGTTGGAATATAACCCAGCCATTAAACAAACACATAGGAACACGCTGATTCTAAGATTGAATCTCAGGAGTCACGAAGCAAAATTAGACGTATAAACAAAACACACTACTCATAAAGTTCCTGAGAACGCTTCGATCGGTTTCGCCCTTCTTGGGTGCAGTACATGAATTTCCCTCAAAACTTCGCTCTACCCAAACTGCACGAACCTAGCGACATTTCCACACCTATTTGATTTTTGCAGGAGACCCAAATGAATCCCAACTTGATCTCTCTTTCATAATGGCAAAACACGTCGTGCGCTACCGAAGAGCTTCCAGCAGCCTTGTGGGTAGTGTGTTACTAGATTGAAACATGATGCTGTCCGGTCAGTAAATCCAAATGAAGAATATTATGAATGAGAGACTCAGCTGGAATTCAGTAGAAAAAACAAATCGAGGTACAAATGAATGTATTCCAAAAGCAGACGTATTTTTCTCCAAACAAATTAATAGATTTGAAGAAGCTAGACCTTCAAAAATGATCCGAAAGCACGAGTCGAAGAGCGGCACGAAAAATACGAGGCTCATCATATTGTCCACTGCGTAAAAACCCACAAGAGGACCACATGAATGAACATGAATTAAGTATAGTGTATGATAAAACGACTCACCTGAGTGTTTTTGGGTGTGGATTCCATTGCGTAGAAAATCAGTTCACCGGATTCCGGGTCAAAATCTGTTGTCACCTGTGGTTCAAAAAAAGTGAAATCGGTTACTAAAGTAAGCTTGGATCGCTGAAGTATATGTGAGGGATGAATATCGATGGTTGGCTAAAGGATCCACTTTCTCCACTCATCTGAAAGACAGGATTGCTGGAACTAGATACTCCGTTAGATGCCATACATTTAATATCACAACCTTGCTTTTCAGAACAACATTTGGTACACAGAATGGCTCCAAATTAGAATGTATTCAATGAAAATTTCCCCATTTTCAAGCATTTCAAGTAGCTTGATAGGTGAAAACGCCGTTGTACAGTCTGAAACACCGTATCTCAACTTAACAGCAATTTAAATGGACAACGAAAACGATAGAAACCTGAATCGTTGAAAGCTCATGATAGCACTGATCGACATTACTTGACAGTCTATCACCGGTTTCACCGTGTTTCGAGCAAATCAGACTGACGCGCTTCCCAGATTTCAATCCATCTGCGCCTTTACTTGAGCGCCAGTTTGTACACGCATTGCATTTATAACTCGTCTGCACATCGACTCTGATGATAATGTCCGTTTAGCTGCAGCACCCTTTCGATGCATAGCTACCACGCTATCTGAAGGAATAACGAGGGCTGAGACTTCCGGACTCCCCAAGCCCAAACAAGAGCAGTCGAGATCTCCGCGTTGGATTCCAACCGTGGACCTTCCTGTCAGTAAGTTCGCGCCCTAACCACTAAGCTATCTCGATCCTGAACGGGAGACCCTAATGAGAAGTGAAACGACCCAATCCTTCGTTTACAGTGTAATGACCTGAATCTATTCATTGTTCAACACGGAGAAAGAGCTCAACATGAGTCGGCACGTACAAAAAGGGCGTAGTTGCCTTTCAACTTGCCTATCACTTCTGAGGCAATAATGTGACGAATTCACTACGTTGGTTGCACTAATGGACAGTCAGTTAAGCCAGTGATGGAGGAGATGAACCGCCATAATGAAATAATAATAATAATAATAATAATAATAATAGAAGCAGGGTGGCTCACTTGTCCCAGTTTGTGGTTGATCAGATCCCAAATTGGGACCAAGCACATTGCCACTGCGCCACCTTTCTCCTTTGGTATGAGGTTATTTCTGCTCATAATTGTGGATACGGCCCACCTACAATGATGCATTTTTCACCTGATGAGTGCGGAGAGAAAACGTTCTCGGAGATGATAAATAAAACCTACGGCAGAAAGTAGTTTCACCCAAATGTGAATGCATTTGTGTGTACTGACTTGAAAATATTTTCCGTTCTCGGAATAAATAAAACCTACGGCAGAAAGTAGTTTCACCCAAATGTGAATGCATTTGTGTGTACTGACTTGAAAATATTTTCAAACAGAGGATATGAATAAGCGAATAAGCACACCAGTAACATGCAGACAAAGGTTACAGATAAAGATGTTGACAGTCCGAACCAGTAATGAGAGGCAGTAGAATCAGAATTCATAGATAGGAAATAAGAGAAACCGGGTTTTTTATTATTTTTCCTTCGAAAAGTACGCAAGACATTTCTATGAGCCTGTTTAGTCGGATGACAATTATAAGATAAGGATGGCTGATGAACGTTGTTATCGGCACCAACAACGCGGTTACAGAAATCAGTAGTGCTCACTCAGAGTACTACCAAAGAAGTTTTCTGTCCCTGAAGGAATGGAAGTCCAGAGCAAGAGCCTTAGCACGACCACGCTACCATTGGTGTATCCCACCAACGAGTGGGAACCATCAATCACGGCGCCGCCAGCTACGAAAGAAGTAACGCACTCACTGAGTCCCCCGGCTTAGTCGAGGAAATCTACAAGAGGCAGACAACCATTTGTACTAACTGGATCGATACGATACAAAGTTGAGGTGAACATGGTGTCAGACTGGTAATGCAGATGAAGTGAACCAGAGAATAAAGGGTGAACTGAATCACATCAAATCGATAATGATGATCATCCGTCTATGACTATCTGGGACAAGGTTTGTCATATTTTCCAACTTATATGCCACCTCTACGATATAACACTCAGGTGAGAAAAAGGGTAAATTATATAATCATGGTGGAACTTGATCAAACCTGCACTTTTAAGTGGTTCATTTCCGGCCAAGTACCTTAAATGTTGTGGTCGGCAAGGACTAACAAAACCCGGAAGACACTGAGTCCATTTCGAGTCGGATCGATGAAGGACAACGGTGTGTGTATTTCAATATGGAGCGGATATCGCTTGCCAGGCAGACTTGTCCAAGAAGTGGTAACGAGTACCTAATCGACTACATCGTTGTGCAACAGAGATGTCAGTAGTGTACTGGTTACGAAAGCGATGCGTGGAGGTGAATGCAATGTATTCCACTCTGGTACGTGCCAAAATACGTGTCGCACTTGGAAACCGTCTCGTCGTGGACTAGGGGTTCAATCAACTTGGATGTCAGAAAATTGGACATGCAAACCGCACCAAATTATTGCCACGCTCTAACTTAAAAAACGGTGGACAAACAGGTTCTAAGCACACCTAAAAGTCAGTGGGGCTGAATTCAGAGATGTTGTGGATAGATTCGGTCTAAATCGTCCAGCTGTAGCACCCTTTCAGTGCCTAAATGACATGCCACACGAAGATTGCACAAGGGCTGGGATACTGAGAGGTTGCCCAGGCCTAGACAGGGGAAGTTGAGAGACAGAGGTCGGGTTCGAACCACGGACCTTCCGGTCAGTAAATTCGCGCTCTAACTACTTAGTCTAAAGCAAGAACGATACTGGCCTAATGAGGGTGACTCATTGATATCCAACGAAATTCAGGAAAAGAACTTGGCGTTTATCAAGCAGCTCAAAATCCGATAAAAACGGCGGACAGAAAAGCAACCTAGAAGTCCCAACATCGAGCTTCTGAAACAACTACGAGAAATAAAAAGTGAACGATGCAACAAACGAAGTCAGGAGCTACAACCGTGTGAGGATCGACGTTGCCAGAGAGATATGCCTGTAAGAACTTTCAAGTTTTCAGCTGATAGAATACGAACATAACGGGGGTAAACGTGGCTACTCCTAAATAAACCTGGCTAATCTATCTACAGCCACGGAACTGCTTACGGTCATAAACTGCTACTAAATTGGAGACCAGAGAGAGAGAGTGGACAGCTTGCCTTCTGAATCGTTCAAGCAGGAAGGACCGAACGATCCGCCCCACCTACTAGGCGACATTTTGGAGGTAGACGATCCGCAAGATTTCAAGGATACAAAGATAGCCCCTAATGGTGACATGGCACCTGGACACCCGCATTGACCTAAAGCTGAACGATCTTATTTTTTTACATATGAAGGGAAAAAAGCATGCAATCAGTCTTCTATGCACAGCAGCCAAGACTACCACTCGTATTCGGCTCAACTGACTGGTCTCTGGGAATCTAAAGAAAAACGCTGCTGAAGTGCAGGGTGGAGTGCGAAGGGATCAAAGTACCGTTGATTCAATTTCCGCCACAAGATAAACCTGAGGGAAATGTTGTGAACAGAAGCAACCACTCTTTGAACTGTTTGTGAACTTCAACAAGTCCTTTGACTCAGTCAACAAAGAAGCACCATGGATCGTTTTACGAAAGGATGGTTGCCGGAGGAATTTGTGAAACTCATCACAGCCTTTCGGAGTAGAATGAAAGCCCGAAGCGGATAACTACCTCGAGCGACTTCGCAATCGATAATGCAGTGAAGCAGAGCCGTTTCCTTTCTCCAACCCAACCTAGCCTCTTTAACACTGGTTGGCTGTGGGATTTAGTTCGGCGGCATCTCGCTTTGGATTAAATATCAATATTTCTAGGACGATAGCCTTTCATCAGCCCCCAAAATATCTCAACATAAAAACACAGTATTTAGTTGATTGGTTGTAAGATAGTGTGCTGCAGGGAGTTCTGCTGGCGTGCGAAAAGGCACGCCTTCGATGCCAAAGGTTAACCATCTGTGTAAACTTGTGATGAATCCATTCTTTCACTGTTTTGATTCCGCATGTACTGCAAACGTTAAGAAATCACCAGTTATACATAGACGCGGGCTTGACTGGAAGTGTATGTGTTAATTACAACAACCTATCTGGTAGCTTTGATGCTCGTAAAATAAGACGGCAAACAGAAGGTCAAGTGTCCACCTACTGTCCTCAGCACCTGCACTTTCTTTGGGCAATGTGTATCCGGACTTCCCACTCAAAAAACCAGAGCACTTGTAAGCTTGTCGGGTAGAAACGTACAAAACGATAAACAAACCTATAGTCTTCAAAACAAAAACATCTCTCAAACGGTAATCCGGAACCACACAAATGGCTGAGGAAGTAGGCATACTGACGACAAACAGATTGAAAATTGCTGACAACTAGTTCTGAAATGGAACGATAAACAGATAATTTAAACGGAAACGTACCAAGGGTCTTGGATCCGCGAAGGTGACACAGATCTTCAGGCTTCATGTACATGAAAGTATGATAACATGTAGGCAAAGTATCTGAAAACAAGCCTCTCTAAAGTGGACATTACCACATACATATGTAACTGCGGTAGTTGGATTCCGACGACAGGCACAGTTCATGAAGCAGTCGGAGGGAGAGTGCGACATTTTCCATAACAGAGCAAATCGGGTCCCGTTTGATAAACTCACCTAAAGTCTGAACTAACATACATCCTGTAAACTAACTGAACTCCTTGGAGCATCCGGTAGTTACATCTAACATGAGGTTAACCGGTATTCGAAGGACACATGCATTTTCCTTATGGATAGGAAATCTTGAACGATGAATGGAATATGTACCTGGATGTCTGATTCGGCACACAGACCGGGTCCACAGTCAGTAAAAAAATGAGAAAATACAGGCTGATGTATATGGTGTTTGTGAAGGACAAGGAACCGATTGATCGCCTCGATTCGATCCGAGTGTTGGGTATCCAGTATCCTCAGAGAACAAAATTCTAGGTGCTGTAGTATTTTTACTGAACTTACTGGATTGAACATTAATTAGATCCTCCGATAAGGAATATAGCTTCAAAAAGACGTCTCTCGCGTTGACTGCTGTGACGGTAGTTTCAAGACATACTTCAGTATGTTATTAATCAAACCCGACGGACCTACTTTCAAGTAAATCTTTGGCAATCAGATCGCTTTTACGTTTAACGCTTTTTGAAAAATTCCGCGGTCCAATACATTGGCAGGGAGTTACCATGAGAACCCGAGGGTAAGATTCTAGGGAAAAATGTACTGTTAGGCACGAGAATGGCGCAAAAAGGAAGTCGTCAAGATACGAAGTTATACACTGTGAAACATGAACAAAGTAGGTGTAAGGAAACAAACGCTATTTGAATGGGGTCTCGAAGAATTGATGCTCTCAGGTGTATCTTGAACTTTCCTGAGTGGCAGCCGAAAGATCGACACTGAGAAATACACTTAACCGAATAAACCAGAAATGTCCCGCCCAGTGGCGCAGGTGATTGAGTTACAAGATATCACTCATAACCCTCACCACAATAACGAACTGTGCTTACCACCGGACGCAAAAAGCTGTGAGAAGTACTAAAAACCTCACGAACAGCAGCACCCGAGGGCAAATCAACATGATGAATAGGACATTGGTGCTGACCGCACACGACAGTGAATGATAAATTTCGACAAACACATTCATTTGTGCATCAAGTTGGTTTTGACGGGAGACTCAACTGGAACCCAGCTGAATCCCTCGTTTGTGGTGCTTTTAAGTAACTGAATGTGCTGCACCAGGCCGCCTCATGTTTCGGTTGGCATGATATTGGAGATATCGCGATACACTGTATAGACGTGACACACTAATCATAAGGTTGCTGCAAAATCGTCGACAGCGCACGACCGGTTTCGCCTATCTGATGAGCCTCAAGAAAGGTAAAACCGGTCGCGGGTTGCCGAGGAGTTTTCAGCAACTTAATGAGCAGTGTATGATGCCTATTAAATGGTAACTTGTTTGCACCGGTATGCAAAAAAAATATGGCAAGTCTGCTTCCTCATTACCTCCATCTGGCCACCAACCATTCCCCAACAGTTCGATTGTTGTGGGTTCACTTTTTTGTGGGTGATACCACCGGGCCACTGTAAATAAGGGTTTGATTAGGCGAATTCCGTAATGAACAACTCCGACACTCCGTGATTTACTACGGTACGGTGTATCATTATTCTCAACATCGCATCCGCTCGTCAATTTGGTATGGTTGATACCTCAATACTTCAAAAAAGAGGTGGTCCCTATGACCACGTATCAGATGCCGCGTACTGCGATGGCAAACGGCTCCATGGTCTACGGACAAAACTCCGATTCATGACAACAATACGAGACTGCGTACTACAGAAGGCAATGGAGTATCACCAAGCCAACTGGCCAACAACCTGTCCCTCAGAACTCCAACAACTTTTGTCAACGATGAAGTTCACCACGTTTTCAACTGCTGTCTTCTCTTTGGCGACCGAATCATCTTTCCCACTTGTTATGTCCTCTTTGATGTTACATCATCATCAACATCATCATCATCAGCAGCAGCAGCAGCAGCAGCATCAAGGACAGCAACATCAGTGTTGCCACTGATATCAGTCAGACACGTAAGCTCACCGGAATGGAGAAGACGAACAACTTCGAGGAAGTTATACTGCAAACAAGTGGATCGTTCCGCGGTATGATTTAACTAAACCAGAATACAAAAAGAGCTAACAGTCCAATAGGATGTCAGTGAGAGGTTGAAATGTAGAAACAAGGTTTTAGTATACAAGACAAATCGTAGGACTGCTGCCGAGGGTTGAGTTGCACTCGTATGACGGACCTTCGTATTCGATCGATCCATCTTCTAGGTGCGCAACTTTTGGAAATTGCTGGTTCATTCATAGGCTCTGGAGATTTGGGCTTTTTGTGTCGAGAAGAATCTCCAGTGGAAGAACAGGGTCAAGTGTAGCTGCCGCTGGAAGATAGGAAGCGCGTAGCCCATTGGCATGACGGACCCAGACAGAGCAGCCTACATTTACTTACCAGACAACTCTTCCGGCACGGCGCACAATTATTCCTTGTGTCCACTTTTCCGCGCTACCACGATAGTCTTTCGCTAGCGCAGATTGACCGGGTATAAATATGTTATTTACAGCACCGTGATGTCGGTTGAACTGAATTTCCATATTTATGTTTCTACCGGTTGGCGAATGTGGTGTTGGACGGACGAGGTCAACGGGTAAGCGGATCTTCCGGTTCATAAGTACCTCCACCGGGGACTTACCATGCCGAGCGTCAACATTTGGTGTCGCCCTTCAACTCAGCAGAAATGTCTCGATAATTTCCGGTGTGGTCCCCTCCCCTTTGAGTTTTTGGAGTGCACGTTTGAAAGTGTCCACAAATCTTTCCACTTGCCCATTTGATTGTGGATGAAACGGTGGTGATCGCACATGTTGTATGCCATTTTCTTGACAGAAATCGGAAAAGTTAGCGGAAGTGAATGCACTGCCGTTGCCAGAAACAATGATATCTGGAACTCCGAAATGGCTAAACACGTTGTAGTTCTGAACTGGTAGCCTCAGCAGTAATATGGTTCATGCTAGACACCTCTGGCCATTTGCTATAAGCATCTACTAGGATGAGATATTGTTGGCTGTTGATTGGTCCCGCAAAAGCAACATGAATTCGTGACCATGGAGTTTCTGGGACGGGCCATAAATATAATTTTGTTTTCCGATGGGATTTTGCAGATAGTTGGTGTTTTGAGCACTTGCGTACGAGTTCTTCTAACTGCTTATCCATGTCTGGCCAGTAAACATAACTACGGGTTAATGCTCTCATACGGTTGATACCGGGATGTCGAAAATGAAATTGTTTGAGAACACTGTTCTGGAGTTTCGAAGGCAAAACCACGCGTTCTGAAAACAACAGACAACCATCGACTTCGGAGAGCGAAGATCGGTGTTGGTAGAACGGTTGAATCTCTTTATCTGGGCATAATAGAGGCCAGTGTGTGCGGTGAAAATGTATGGCTTTTTTCAGTAATGGATCACGAAAAGTGGCGTCGCGAACCATAGCAGAAGTGACTTGTAAAGCGCGGATTGCTGTAGTAAGCATAGTATTTACTTCCGGTTCCGCTGTTATTGAAGCGATAACCGCATCTTCGAGTTGTGGACGCTGAGAATCCATTAGCCTTGATAATGCGTCGGACTTGCCCATCGCACCAGTTGATTGGTATTTGATGGAGAAATCGTAGCCCAAGAGCATTGTTGCCTAGCGTTGCAAGCGATTTGATGTGTACACAGGGATACTTTTCTTTGATCCGAAAATGCCGAGAAGTGGTTTATGATCGGCGATGAGCGTGAAATGACGACCATATAGCATTTTATGGAAATTCTGGACGGCGAAAATTATGGGTAAAGCTCCTTTTTCAGTTTGTCCATAATTGCGTTCGGTAACTGTCAGGGATCTGGCTGCAAGGGCTATTGCTTTTTCACTTCCATCAGGGAAAACGTGAGAGATAACTGCCCCAATACCATAATTGGATGCGTCTGAAACCACAATAATGTCCAGAGCTGGATTGTAACGCGTGAGAAGCAAGTTAGAGCTAAGTTGTGACTTCATGTCATAAAATGCAGATTAGCAATCGTGTGACCAGTTCCATGAAACATCCTTTTGTAGAAGGTGATTTAGTGGGTAGCAAACACGATGCATGTCTGGTAGAAAAGTGCTGTATTGGCTAACCAAGTCAAGGAACGAACGTAGAGTTGTTAGATCCGTCGGTGCTGGCATTTGAAGTATGGCAGAAATGTTTTCTGCGTCCGGACAACGACGATTTTCGTCAAAGATAAATTCCAGTTATTAAATGGAGATCAGGAACATTCACTTTTTTATGTTCGATACCAATGTCTCATATTGGCCAAGCGCGACGCGGACGATTACGTCACTTTTACGGCGTCGTCAACCGCGAGTGTGAAAAATTTCAATTGCAGTCACTTACAGAGGATCAGTTCAAGTGTCTAATTTTCGTTGCTGGTCTTCAGTCTCCACATGAATCAGATATTCGCACTCGACTGCTTTCCAACCTTAAGCACGAGAAGGATATTACCGTGAAAACATTCACTACCGAATGCCAACGTCTGCGTAATCTTAAGCACGATACCGCAGCGGTACAGCAGACGTCACGACCTACTAATCCCAGTGATGTCATGGCATTGAAACGAACCACTGTCACACATGAGAAAAAACCGCCAACACGGTTTGGTTTTGTGGCGAGTGGCATTATGCATGTTTCTGTCCATTCAAGAAGCACAAGTGACAGACGTGTCATCGGTGGGACCACAAAGAACGTTTCTGCTGTACTAAACATAAAGGTACTCTCAAGCTTTTGTCCGATACTAAACCAGTGTTTAGGCCAAAACATCCCGTTCCGTTTGCCGCTCTCACGACCGTGGAGGATGAACTTGTTCGTCTCCAACAGCTCGGGGTTATGCAGCTAGTTTTCAGCACGGAGGCAAAAACCATGTGGTTGAATTTGCTCCAGCACACAATGTAATCGATGTAGTAGTTCGTCTTGATTGTCACCAGCGATGATATCATCTAAGTATGCAGCAACTCCGGGACAATCGTTGGGCATGGTATTCATTATTTTCTGGAATGTAGCTGGTGCAGGTTTTACGCCAAAAGGTAAGCGATTAAACTGAAATAAACCATGATGCGTATTAATGGTCAAGAGTTTAGGTTTGGTACCGGATAAAAGCTTGAGAGTAGCTTTATGTTTAGTACAGCGTCCAAGGCCCTTTGAAAACATCAGCGAATTCAGTCGTGAGAATGTTTGTGAAATGTTTCATAATACCTGAAGAGCACGATAGTTGTAAAGCACTGCACACAGATGTCAGGGGTACACTAAAAAGGTCAAGTTTTTCAATCCAATCAAGTCCAAGAATGTTCAAATTAGGTGAGATAACAAGTTCCTGAGAACTGTAGATTGTTGAATGATACGTTACAGGCTAACTTGCCAGTCAGTAGTAGTGTACTGCCAGATGCACTTTGGGCCCGATGATTCGTGAATGACACAACAGGTTTTCCTATCAACTCCCAATTGGAACGTGAGATCAACGTAATATCTGAAGCTGTGTCGAGCTGCAGACGGATTGGAACTTTGATGATGGGAACTGTAAGGTATTTCCTTCGGGACTCGAATTCAACTTGCAATGTTGCAAACACAGATCTGGACTGCGGACGTTTCTTGTACGACTGCTTTTTGACTGTGTTGCTGGGTGAACTGTCGAAGTTCTTTTTGTTTTTGAGTGCGGTGGGTTTTGGGGTACGGCAGAAACGTTCTTTGTGGTCCCACCGATGACACGTCTGTCACTTGTGCTTCTTGAATGGACAGAAACATGCATAATGCCACTCGCCACAAAACCAAACCGTGTTGGCGGTTTTTTCTCATGTGTGACAGTGGTTCGTTTCAATGCCATGACATCACTGGGATTAGTAGGTCGTGACGTCTGCTGTACCGCTGCGGTATCGTGCTTAAGATTACGCAGACGTTGGCATTCGGTAGTGAATGTTTTCACGGTAATATCCTTCTCGTGCTTAAGGTTGGAAAGCAGTCGAGTGCGAATATCTGATTCATGTGGAGACTGAAGACCAGCAACGAAAATTAGACACTTGAACTGATCCTCTGTAAGTGACTGCAATTGAAATTTTTCACACTCGCGGTTGACGACGCCGTAAAAGTGACGTAATCGTCCGCGTCGCGCTTGGCCAATATGAGACATTGGTATCGAACACAAAAAAGTGAATTTTCCTCACCGAAAACTTCACGGAGTTGTTCCACTGTTTGTGCGAAGTTTAAATCCTTTGGATGTTTGGGAAAAATAAAGTTCGTGCTCGAGGGTTCCAGGTTTCCGGACTAAGAGACGGGGTTTCCACGCCTCATCTTTGTCGGTAAACTCGTCCTGAAAAGTATCTTCCCAGCGACTGTACCATGAATCGAATGTGGGACCAGATGCTGGTTCGTAGAGGAATTCCGTAACAGCTGCTGTAATAGAACCGGCAAAGGATAATGAAGTACCAATTTGACATGGAACCGATGTCTGAAGACCGATAGCTTGAGTAAGAGACTGAATAAGTCGCAATTGCGGTTGTTCGAACTGCGCTTGTTGCTGTTGAAGGATTGCTTTCAAATCCTCAGCTGGAGTTGACATGTTTGTGTTCGCGTTGGGTACCCGTCACCAGTGTTATGTCCTCTTTGATTTATGTCAGTCAGACACGTAAGCTCACCGGAATGGAGAAGACGAACAACTTCGAGGAAGTTATACTGCAAACAAGTGGATCGTTCCGCGGTATGATTTAACTAAACCAGAATACAAAAAGAGCTAACAGTCCAATAGGATGTCAGTGAGTGGTTGGAATGTAGAAACAAGGTTTTAGTATACAAGACAAATCGTTAGTTAAATGGATTTGTTCGTTTGGAGGTAGTCCTCCTAACACCACCAAACTTCGCGTCCTGTCCCAACTCAGTTCCACAATGGACACTCAGGGATAAGCTGCATGCTCTATCGCTCCTAATTTTACTGGCACACAGATGAGCATGTTGACCACGTAAGTCGGAGCTGATTCCGATGCGCAGCTGCCCAGAAGTTACCCAACCAACAGTCACTGCAGCCTTGACCCCAGCCAGAAAAAACTGTGGTCGCTCATTCACGTAGATTTTGCCGGAGCACTTATCGGATAGAGTTTCCTCACCGTTGCCGAGGCATCCAGTTAGTGACCCGAAGTCCTTATGCTTCAGACAACAACGATAGAAACCATCACTAAACTGCGGCAATTGTTTTCAATATTCGATTTATCGGAAACCAGTGTGTCCGACAGTGGTACGCAGTTCACGACC